TAGGGGCTGGAGAGACGGCTCAGTGGTTAAGAACACTGGTTGTTCTTGCAGAAGACCTCGGTTCAAATCCCAGCACCCACATGGCAGCTAACAGCTGTCCGTAACTCCAGTCCCAGGGGATCCAACAGCCTCTCCTGACCTCCATGGGCATTGCACGACATGGGCGCACTTACCTACACGCAAGCAATACACACATACACATAAAATAAAAATAAATAAAATTTTAAAAAAATAAATGCCTGAACTAGAAAGAACCGGATCCATACTCCACGGGGTGAATTCTTTCTCCCCGCTTGCTCACACCACATTTAGTACAGAAGGCTGTGGCTTCCTCCCTTAAACCTCAGGTTTCTGTGAGAGTTAGCATGGTTCAGCATGCAGGAGGCCACCTGGCCAGGCAGTCGGTGCCCATCATTGGAGATAACCAAGCAGGCTCTGAGCTCCCTTCCAGCTGTGATAGGAAGACTTGATGAAGGCAGGTACCCTCTGAGTCCCCAGCTCCCTGCACCTCTGCTTGTGGTCTCTCTACATGGTCCAATCTGAGGGTTATTAGGATGTCCTTAAGTCTGTCTGTGCCCACAGGTATGATGCTGGCAAGGATGGCTTCATTGACCTCATGGAACTAAAGCTCATGATGGAGAAACTTGGGGCTCCCCAGACTCACCTAGGCCTGAAAAACATGATCAAGGAGGTGGATGAGGACTTTGATGGCAAGCTCAGCTTCCGGGAGGTGAGCCCCACCCAGCCCACTCCCCCTCCATCCACACTGAACACTTATTGGATGGTTTTTGTTATTGAATGACATCATCATTAGACAGCCAGCTGTGAATGACTGATCCAATTGGCTATGTGAGGCTCGCAGGGTGCTCTAGGTAGGCATCCTCCCGCCTCGGCCTCCCGAGTCCTGGGATTACAGGTATGAGACACCCCACTCAGCTATTTTGAGTGATTAAAGTGTGCACATCTGAGGTGTGGGGAAGGCCCTGTGCTCTGAGGTGCTGGAGCTTAGAGGAGGCTGCCCAAGAGGGGGGAATTACACAGTGCTTGGTTCAGGGGAAGATGGAGTGATAGGCATTGGGAGACCAAGGGGCCCTGGCACGGTGCTAAGTGACTGCAGATTTGTAATCTCCACCCTTACTCTGAAGCAGAAGCTGTGGACAAGTCTTTTTTGAGTGTGGTCAGGGGAATGAAGGCTCAAAGCCACATAACTGTGTGCTAGGCCTCGACAGCATATGGTTTACCTGTGTAGAATGATGGGTGCCTTGGAGAGTCCTGGGCCTGGGAGAGCTGGCAGGAAGTAAAGGAGCATTGGGGGAAAATGGCATGGGCTTCTATGAGGTGACAAGAGACCAAGGAGGAAGTTGAGGTGGTCCGTGGGAATGCCTTGGGCTCAAAGAATCCTCCTAGCATTCCCTAGACTCCAGGCAAGCCATTTGCTGTCTCAGAGCCATCCTCTTACTATAGGATGGGACCGTGATCCCTGGGGGCTCCAAAAGCATGCAGTGCAAGTCTGTGTGGGGAACAGCAGATGACAGATAAAAGGCAAGCTGAAGCCAGGTGTGGTGGCGCACACCTTTAATCCCAGCACTCGGGAGGCAGAGGCAGGCCAGCCTGGTCTACATAGTGAGTTCCAGGTCAGCTGGGGCTACAGGGAAACCCTGTCTCAAAAAGACAAAAAAAAAAAAAGGACGGAGGGAACTGAGAGCAGGTGGATCTCTGTGAGTTGAAGACAAACCTGGTTTACATAGTGAGTTCCAGGCCAGCTGGGGCTACAGGGAAACCCTGTCTCAAAAAGACAAAAAAAAAAAAAGGCAGGAAGGAAGCTGTGATGGGAGCCGGGTGTATGTGTTTGTTCAGGATTCTGACAGAGCAGACCATGGAGCCCAGCTCTGTAGCTCGCAGTCCCACATGAGCACCCCACTGTTCTCCTGAGAAGGCCTCAGCTGAGGCTTAGGTATGGCCGGGGACTTTGCTCCCTGGTGCCCATGCTGACACCCTGTGCGTTTCCCACCACAGTTCCTCCTGATCTTCCGAAAGGCAGCGGCTGGGGAGCTGCAGGAGGACAGTGGGCTACATGTGCTGGCCCGCCTCTCCGAGATTGATGTCTCCACCGAGGGTGTAAAGGGAGCCAAAAGTTTCTTCGAGGCCAAGGTGAGAGCCAAGAGCTGAGGATTGTATGGGGCTGGGCCAGCTGTGTGATGATGTGGTTTAAGATTGAGGCTAGGCACAGTCCCTTCCTGTCCCTGATGAGGCTGCAGAGGAGAGGTGGGGCTGACACCGTGTGTGGCGGGCAGGGCCATGGGCTCTTTTGGGGAGGGTATGGAAGTCAGAGAATAACTTGTGGGAATGAATTTTCTTCTACCATATAGGTTCCTGGGATCAAACTTAGGTCATCAGTGCCATTACACACTGAGCCATCTCACCAGCCATACAGGGCTCTTAAAGAGGGAGACAGCTAGCTGGGCTCTGCTCCCTGGAGACCCTGCCCTGCCAGCCCTGACCTAGAGAAAGCTGAGGAACCCTCATACCAACTACACACACAGCCCCCTCCCCTTCAGCACATGTACAGGCGGAGGGGACAGGTTTGGTCCAGTGGCTCCTGGGTCCTGCCCATCCAGGATCCCCATCCTTCCTTATTTTTCTTTTCAGTGTGGTTAAGACTCTTCCCTTCCCAAAGCTGCCTCCCCATCCCTCTCTTTTCCAAGCATTACCTCCCCTTTCCCCTCACTCCCTGTCTCTCAGACAGGGTCTCATGTAGCCTAGGCTAGCATTGAACTTCTGCTCCTTCTGCCTCTGCCTCCCCAGTGCTGGGAATACAGGTGTACACCATGCCCCATTCATGAAATGCAAGAGATGAAACCCAGGACTTCATACATGTCAGGCAGGCACTTTACCAACTAAGCAGATCCCCAGCCCGTGTTATTTTAATCCTCCCCATAAGCTCCTGCAACTAGCTACCGTGTGCCAGGTTCTAAATAGAGAATCTGAGGCTCAGAGGGGTGAAAGCAGGTATGAGTGGGGCCAGAGTTGGGTTATGTGTGGCCAGGTGGGACCCCTGGAAAAGCAGCTCCCAGGGGTATATGGAGGCCACTCCAGCCCTGACCCCTCACCCTCACTCATCAGGTACAAGCCATCAACGTGTCCAGCCGCTTCGAGGAAGAGATCAAAGCCGAGCAGGAGGAAAGGAAGAAGCAGGCCGAGGAGATGAAGCAACGGAAAGCGGCCTTCAAGGAGCTGCAGTCCACCTTCAAGTAGCAAGGGCCAAGGCCAAGGGCCCAGCCCTGCCCCAGTGTGCAGTCTGAGGGTATGGGCGGGCACAGGAGACCCATGAGAGGCAAGCCTGGGTCCTGGCCTGTGTGGCAAGGACCACTACTAAAATCAAAATTACCTGTGAATGAATCCCATCCAGGCGTCTCCTGAGTGGCCTGGCCAGTCCCTGCTCCCTCCTGCTGTTTTCTGAGGCTGTCACACCAGCCGCCAGCATCCTTGCTGGCCATCCCTGTGTCTCTCGTTCTCTGGCCACCCTGCTGCCTGCTGTAGCCCAGCTCCAGCCTTCAGTCCCACCCTGCCCTATGTGCCAGCCACTCCCACCTACCCTTAACCACAAGCCGCCCTGCTCCTGGCCTGACAGCCCCTTCCTAGATAGGGAGCAGCAGAGATTGACAGAGGGACCCAAGGAACTTATAGAAGCCCAGGTGAGCCCCTCCCCAGACTCCTCCCTCCAGGTCTACCCCTCTGGTGGAGGCTGGGGAGGGGCTCCTAGTTTGGTGAAGGGACCCAAGTCCTGGCTCTCTAGGCTGATGTGGCGATGGGGCCCGGCCAGGCAGGGTGAAGGCCACTGTGCGAATCTACCTCACGGGCCACACTCTGCTGGGCATGCCATGGGGACGCAGGTGGGAGAGATGTGGGGGACAGAAATGCCACTCCTTGGGCACTCCCCCACAGAAAAAGCTGAGGGTCCAAGGGGCTATAGAGGGTTGATGTTCCTGGGGGGGCTAGCCTTTCTAGGAAGGACGCCAGCACTCTGCCTCAGTTCCCCAGGGAATACCTGATGTATTTGTATGCACTGGCAGTTGGACCTGGAGCCCGGCCCACCTTCCCCACTATCCTTCCCTGGGTTTGTCACCAGTGACAGCACCTGCCTACCCCCTAGGATGCATGGGGACCTTCCAGCCCATCGCCAGACAGGACGTAGTAAACCCGTGGCACTCCTCCACAACTCCCATGTGCTTGCTCATGTGTGTGTATGTGTGTACCTGTTGCTGTGTTGTGAAACTGTGATGTCACCCAGTCTAAGTGAACGGCATCAAGGCCACTGTTATGCAATGTTTTGTGTGTGTCATGACAGCATCACTGCTTTTGAAACTTGATAACTCTTTATTTTACTACAATGCCTTGAGTCTCCAGTACCCCTGTGGGACCTGCAGAGGTTTTATTTTTCTTTCTGGTCTTACATCCTGCAAAGAATAGGAAAGGACCGAGCCTAGCCCAGCAGCCGTGGCCCTGGCTTGCGTTTGCCTTAGTGGATGTGTTTATACAGATGAATATAAATTTCCCTTTTTCTTTAGGCTTTTTGCATTTTTTTTCTTCCCTCTCACTCTCCCAAAAAAGAAAAAAGCTACTTCTTCATTTGGTGGTACGATTATTTTTTTTAACTAAAACGAGATAAAATTCTATATTCTTATGTGTGTGTGGTTTTTGATGGCTAATTAAGGGCAGGGAAGGGAGTAAAGCCAAGGTCCCTGGGTGTTGGGCAGTCATGCCAGGAGCCTGGGGAAGAGAGGACTCCTAATGGAGAAGCTGGTCTCTGAAGACCTGTAAAACAACAGGCACTGGTCTAAGCACTGTGTATTAACTCATTTCATTCTCAAAAAAGTCCATGAAGGGGGTGAGTTGGGGCAGCAGGACTCTGCTCAGAGTGACCAGCTAGCAGACTGCACCCTCACAGAGGGGCCACCTGCCTTGAGATTTCAGAGAGGAGGGCTTCGTCTCCTGACAACAAAATGGTGGTTAAAGCTATTATGTGGTGGTGTACACCTGTAATCCCTGCTTTCCAGAGGCTGAGGCAGGGAGAGTTCCATGCTGGCCTGGCTACATAGTGAGACCCTGTCTAAAGAAACAAAATTAATGGGGCTGGAGAAATGGCTCAGCAGTTAAGAACACTTGCTGTTCTTCCAGAGGACCCGGGTTCAGTTCCCAGCACCCACATGGCAGCTAACAACCGTCCGCAGCTCCAGTTCCAGGGGATCCGATGCCCTCTTCTGGTCTCTGCAGGCATTGCACAACATGGGTGCACTTACACACATGCAGGTGACACACTCATATACATAAAACAAAAATTTTTTAGGGAGGGAGGGAGGGAGGGGGTAGGGAGAAAGAACAATAAAACTGATAAGGTGTGGCATTAAGTCTACAGGGGTTCGGGATCCATGTGCCCCCGCCGTGCATAAACATCCACAGTCCTGAGCATGCTCAGACAATGCTTCTTGGGTTAGTGGGGTGACTGTAAGGGTGGACCAGCAGCTTCCTATGTGGGTGGGCTGGAGTCTCCTAGACTTGTGGTTGCTGGGGTCACTTCCCACCCAAGCCTGGTTGCAAGAACGGATTTCTAGTTGGTTGTGTGCTGCTGCCCCCGGGTGGCCATGATTGGAACTGCAGCACCAGATGGCCCATTGCCTGTCTTCTACGCAATCCTATTTGGAAAGGGCGGTGTATTCAGGAGGTGTCTCTCCTGGGGTATAGCACCCTTACATGCTACACAATGCCTGGTATGCCACCACCACTAACAGCAGTTTAGGCTAAACGACTAATCCTTCAGTACTTGCACAAAGGATTCCCTAACTACCCATGGGAAGGACACAAGGAAGAGGGAAGGAGATTGAAGGGGAAGGGGTTCCATTCACGCTGTAGCTGGCCTGGTGATGGGCTGGGAGGGGGTCAGGGGAGGTTCTCGAGCCCTCAGAATTCAAGACCAGGCCATCTGTGGCATGCTAGGGCCTCAGCTGGTGGGGGCTTCAGCCTCAGCCTGCCAAGACCCCCACACACACACACACACTGGTAGGCCCTGCAGAGGAAGCCAGCTGAGGAAGGAGGAAGTTCAAAGTGACCCAGTTCCCAAGAAAAACTTCCCCGGAATTGGGTGTGGTGGTACCTTCCTAGAATGTCAGTGCTGGGGAAGTAGAGGCAGGAGGATCAGGAGTTCCAGGCCAGCATGGGCTATACAAGACCCTGTCTGAAAACAACAAAAAAATCCAAGCCAGCAAGACCCGGAGACTCTCATGGTAGACAGCACCAACTCCTGCAAGTTGTCCTCTGACCTCCACATGGGCATCATGGCATACTCAGCACAAACACGTACATACACATAGAACATAAACACACAAAATGAAAAAAAAAATGGTTTTTTTTTTTTTTGGTCTTTTTGAGACAGGGTCTCCCTGTAGCCCCAGCTGTCCTGGAACTCACTATGTAGACCAACCTGGCCTTGAACTCACAGAGATCCTCCTGCCTCTGCCTCCCAAGTGCTGGGATTAAAGGCATGCACCACCACGCCCGGCTCAATAAATGTAATTTTAAAAAAGGTTTTTTAAAGCCCAAACAAGCCAGGCCTAGTGGTATATACTTTTAATCCCAACACTTGGGAGACAGAGACAGATGGATCTCTATGAGTCTAAGACCAGCCTGGTCTACATAGCAAGTTCCAGGCCAGCTGGGGCTACATGGAGACTGTCTCAAAGAGACAAAAAGAGCTGCCCCCCCCCACCCCATCTTCTCATTAATCCTCTTTTCCCAGCCCCAAACATCACCAAGCACTGTAACCAACCCCCATCACCCTCCAACTCCACCCCCCATCGAACTTTAACACCCTCACTAATCTCTAGTTCTTTAGTGAGCCCCCATACCCTCTCTGGAGTCACAGAAGAGAAACCCCCGCCCCCCCAGCCCTTCAGCCTGCCTCTTTAGTTGCCCTCTTCCGAGATGGAACAGCTGCCACCAAATCTTGTCCCAGCAGCCAGCAAATCCAGGCCCCTGTCACTGGCACCTGCCCTGTTCTCGGGCTCTTGCCCTACCTCCTCCCAAACTTGGCATTGCTTCTCCTGACACCCTCGGGTATCATGTGGCCACATCGCACCACCCCCTCATCACTTGTGGTTGCTGAGCATGACCAGGCCTTGAGATCACAGGTCCTGACAGTGCACTGCAGACCTTGGAAAGCTGGATCTGTGGGTGCAGCAAGGGGTCCTGACAGCCTCACTTCAGTTCTCTAACTCATTTTGGACATGGGATCCACAGAGAAGGAACCTTCTTACCTGTATCCCATCAAGCTCCCACTTAAAACCAATCTCGGGAGCTGAAGAGGTGGCTCAGCAGTTAAAAGCACTGGTTGCTTTTGCAGAGGACCCAGATTCAGTTCCCAGCACTCACATGGTGGCTAACAATCATCCATAACTCGTTCCAACGATGCCCTCTTCTGACCTCTGCAGGCATTGCACAACACAGGTGCACCTACCTATATGCAGGGACTACACTCACACGTAAAACAAAAATAATTGTTTTTTTTAAAACAACAACAACAAAAAAATAATCTCATCTCACACGGAGCTCCAGCCAGGTTCATCTCTCTAAGGAACGCATCACCCTGATTGGCAGGAAGAGCCTCACCCCCGAGCTCCAGTGCTGAATAGGGTCTTATCTCTGTGTGCCCAGTACTAGCCCAGGGCCTCCACATAGCAGGGGTTCAGTGAACCTGCAGAGAATGAGCGAAATAGTTTGTGGTTTGTATATACAGCATGTCAGTGGCACACAGTCAAATAAAGCAATCACATCTTTAGGCAAAATCAGTTCAGCACCAAGCCCCACCCTCCCAGCACAGGAAATCCACGCTCCTAAGCCCCCCTCTGCAAACGCCCACCAGCCCCCATGGCTGCTTTTGCAGTCTTTGTTACTATAACCAGAATATATATGTATCAGTTTGCCAAGTGTCACAGTGAGGGCCCTGGCTAATGGCGTCCTCTGTCAGGCCACTCCCTGCACTGGGGCCAGGGACCAGAGGGGCTGGTACCTGTCAGACACATGCCAAAGGCAGTTCCTGCCTCCACTTGGTTTCTCCCAAAAGCCTTTTTTCTTGGCTGCCCCAAGGCTCACTGAAGACACCCAGAGGCAGGGCCAGAGTGCTCTACACTCAGACATAGAGGACCACAGCTGGCCACATGTCTACCCAAGTTCTTCTAGCCAGTGCCAGGACCTTGAGAGGTTCATGGGAGTGCTTTGATTTCTTTAAAACCATCAGGAAAGCATCCAAACTGAGTTCCATTCATCTGTACAGACAGACCTAGAGTCTAATATCTATGGATTTTGATGGAAGCCCCCCTCTGCAAACGCCCACCAGCCCCCATGGCTGCTTTTGCAGTCTTTGTTACTATAACCAGAATATATATGTATCAGTTTGCCAAGTGTCACAGTGAGGGCCCTGGCTAATGGCGTCCTCTGTCAGGCCACTCCCTGCACTGGGGCCAGGGACCAGAGGGGCTGGTACCTGTCAGACACATGCCAAAGGCAGTTCCTGCCTCCACTTGGTTTCTCCCAAAAGCCTTTTTTCTTGGCTGCCCCAAGGCTCACTGAAGACACCCAGAGGCAGGGCCAGAGTGCTCTACACTCAGACATAGAGGACCACAGCTGGCCACATGTCTACCCAAGTGCTTCTAGCCAGTGCCAGGACCTTGAGAGGTTCATGGGAGTGCTTTGATTTCCTTAAAACCATCAGGAAAGCATCCAAACTGAGTTCCATTCATCTGTACAGACAGATAGACCTAGAGTCTAATATCTATGGATTTTGATGGAAGATGCGGCCAGTGAACTCCCTTCACTTTGGGAAAACTATGCTTCCAGCCAAGCCCATCCCTGCTCAAATTAAATAGTAACCATGAAGGTCAGGGAAAGACCTTGTCTGAACAGGTTTGTCCCAGGTGTGGCTCAGCCTTGACCCCTATGAGCGCTTCTCCTGTGCCTATAAATGCCCTGCCTGATCCACTCCAGTTTGTCCTGAGTACTTGCACCATGCTGGGTATCACGGTCTTTGCTGCCATCTTGGCCTGCGGTAAGTTGGAGGGTGGGGACCTGCTGCAGTCAGTAGGCTGTGAGCTCAGGATGGCTTCTGGGTGCTCTGTGTTTCCCAGGAAAAGGACTTTGGGGTCCTGTATGGATTCCAAATGGGCAGCTGTTTCCACCTATTGGAGAAGGGCCAGTGAGCGCCCTGCAGGGTGTGAGGACAGGTGTGGGAACCTTGGAGCAAGATACAGAGCGGATGCTTCACGCTGTGTTCTCTCCGGGGGCCGCTGGGCCTGCCATTGCCACCTGTGCCTCCCCCTTGAGGGTTCTTCACTCTCCGAGGTTGCAAACTCAGGAGCGAGATTTAAATGCTGTTCACTTTCCACTAGACCTGGGCCAGTTCCTTCACCTTGCTAAATGTCACTGCGTTTGTATGTTCGTTTGTTTGAGTGACAGCACTTGGTTGAGTCCTTCCAGCTTATATACTGAACTTTCTAGATGCAGAAGCAAACCGGAGTCTGCAAACAAGCTTAAGGTATAGGGTCTGTCCATATCTCCATTTCACAGTGGGCAGGGGGGCGGGGAGAGGAGGGTAGCTCTCGGTGCCCTGCCCAGGATTGCATGCTGGTGAGCAAGGCAGCTGGACACCAGCCTCGGTTTGCCTCACCACAGAGCACACGCCCTTGACCACTCCACACAGCTCCCCAGTCGTGACAGTGTAGGACTCTACAGTTCCCATGGAACCATACCCCCTACATTGTGCTGTAGCCTCCAAAGGGTGAGAAGGACAAGGTGTCCTACATGCTCATGTGCAAGCCACCTGCCTGTTTCTTTGGCTGTGGTAACTAAGCATCCCCTCTAAGCTTCAGCGAAGCTCTTCAAATGGGTTGTGCAACAGTTCTCAAGATACTCCAAGTCACTGTTCTTCCCATGTCACAGAAGAGAAGCGGAGGCCCAGAAAGCCAATTGCCCTTCCCACAATTCCCGCAGTAAGATACCAGCCACATCTGCTCATCAGCCTTTCCCAGGGGAAGGCCATCCCACTCACCTGCACTCCCCTCTCTCCCCAGTCACCAGCTGTGGGAACCCCACCTTCCCACCCAACGTGGTATCCAGGGTAGTAGGAGGAGATGACGCCGTTCCCCATAGCTGGCCCTGGCAGGTAAGCAAGCCACCGGGAGACAGAGGCAGAGATGGAGGGGCAGGGTTGGGGACTCCCATATGGGCTGACATGTGGGCCTTTCTGCAGATCTCTCTTCAGTACCTCAAGGATGACACGTGGAGGCACACGTGTGGAGGCACCTTGATCACCAACACCCACGTCCTCACTGCTGCCCACTGCATCGAGTGAGTGAGTGGAATGACATGTCAAGACTGGTTGTCATCCAAGCTGCTTTTTATTGAGTGTGTAACACACTCTCCAGGCACTGGGCTCTATGAGCTGCTTACATCCATGAACTCAGCTCCTCATTTATTCAGTCAACAAACATTTCTTATGTACCAACTCTGTGCCAAGAAACGGCAATGAAAACCAAACCTGGGTTCTAGGGAGTTTATATTCTAGTGGAAGGCAGAGCAGCAAACAAGTAAATATATAACATATCAATAACAAACAAAAGGCTGGAAAAGGGAGAGGGGTATAGGTGGTTCTATTTAAAAGGAGATAGCCCAGCAGGAAGGAAGAAGGGAGGGAGGGAGGGAGGAAGGGAGGAAGGGAGGAAGGGAGGGAGGGAGGATTAGTAAAATGAGGGGGTAGGTGCTGGGTTGGAGGGCTGGTGCAGCCATTAAGGGCTCAGACTCACAACCAAAATAAAGGAGTGGGGTTGTGGCTCAGTTGGTAGAATGCTCACCTAGCATGCATGAAGCCCCAGGTTCCATCCCCAGCACCACATAAAATCAGGTGTGCTGGCATGTGCCTGTAATCTCATCACTTGGGAAGATCAGAAGTTGAAGGTCATCCTTGGTTGTTATATAGTGAGTTTGAGACCAGTCTGAGCAGAAAGGAGGGCAAGAAGGAGGAGGAGGAAGGAGGGAAGGGCAGGGGACCATATCTGAGGGAAGACCTCTCCGAAAAGGGCAAAGATGTAAAGGAAGGAGAGAGGGCATCACAGATCTATGAAGGGTGTTCCAGGTAGAGCGAACAGCCACTGCAAAGGCCCTGAAGAGGCACTTGCTTGGTGCTTTGGAAACACCAGGGCAGCCTCCTAATGGGGGCAGAGGAAAAGCAAGACCTCCGGCTTTGACTCTGGGGGAGGCGGAGCTATGGGAAGGACTTTACTTCCAGAAAGGCTGAGAGTGGTTGGCATCTGTTTTAGGAGATGCCCACTCTTGAATCAAGGTCAGAAGTCAGGTGTGGTGACACATGCCTGTCATCTCAGTACTTAGAGCAGGGGGATCCTGCAGTAGGGAGAGGCCAGAGCCAGGCAGTGGTCAGGTGATTGCTGACACAGAGAAGCAAGAGGCAATGACAGCTTGGCTTTCCTGTGAGGGGGTAGGGCCTAGCCTTCCTATCTGGGACAGTTCCTGGCTCCAAGTCCTGGGTCTTGTCCCCCTATCCTGTGCAGGGTCAGTAGGAACAGGCACCCCTTCCCCGACAGAACCTCACAGTGACCGTGGATAGGGCTGGGTCACCAAAGCCGTCAATTCCCTCCCAACCCTCCCAGAGGCCACCTGATCTCTTTCCCTTCTTCTAGCGAATCCCTCACCTACCGTGTGGGCCTGGGGAAGTACAACCTGACTGTGGAGGACGAGGAAGGCTCCCTTTATGTGGGGGTAGACACCATCTATGTCCATGAGAAGTGGAACTCCCTCTTCGTGTTGTGAGTGCCAACTGCCTGCCTAGAGGGCTGGGGTAGCATGGGAGGTGGGTCCCCAAGATGGAACCACAGAGTCTGACCCCTGTGTCCAGTGTGTGCAACCTGCATAGCCACAAGATGACTCCTGTTCCATCCTTCACATTGATCAAGGGTCTGGGAAAGGTACACAAGAGATAGAGACTCCAAGCCACCCCGCCATCCCCCATATTCTGCCAATATTCCCCCAAGCGGAGACCAAGGCAGATATCACCTTACTGAGCGCTGAGCACATGCTCATTGCAATAGGCATGTGAGATGCCATCTCCTATCTAATTCTCACGATAGCCATAGACAAGAAACCCCAACTCAGAGAGGTTAAGAAATACATCCCAGGTCACACAGCCCAGTGCATGGCAAAGTTAGACATCAAAGCAGGTCTGCCAAGGTTAGCAACTTCCCCTCTGCCAATGGAGATTTTTTTCTTTTTCTTTTTTTTTTTTTTGGTCTTTTTTGAGACAGGGTCTCCCTGTTGCCCCAGGTGGCCTGGAACCCACTACATAGACCAGGCTAGCCTTGAACTCACAGAGATTCACCTGCCTCTGCCTCCTGAGTGCTGGGATTAAAGGCATGTGCCACCAGACCCAACAATGGAGAATATTTAAATGCATCCACACATGCCTTCTGTTACCACCATTCCAGACTTGCTTAGCACCCTTTCTGAGGGGTCAAAACTCACAGTAGTTCCAAACACTTCCTTTCTGTTGCGTTTTCATGAGTTGGCAAGTGAGGGAGAAGCCACATCTAAGGGCCTGAGTGAGCCTACTAGAAGGGTCACTTACAGGTAGGGGGATGACTCAATGGCTAAGAGCATTTCCTGTGCAAGCATAAGGACCTGAGTTCAAATCCACAGCACCCAAGTAAAAAGCAGGGTGTGGCTGCAGAAGCTGAGGCTGTAACCCTAGTGCTGTGGGAGATGGAGACAAAAAGAGCTCTAGGGCTTGCTGGCTGCCAGCCTGGCTCCCAGGTTCAGGGAGAGACCCTGTCTCAAGGGAATAAGGTACTAATAGAGCAGGACACTGACACACAGTGTCCTCCTCTGTACATGTGCATGGGCACATGCAAACACGCGCACGCACACGCACACACACGCACGCACACTCCCACATATGCAAAGAAGGATCATTTGTCCTCCAGCATCTCTGCTAGCTAATAAGCTGCTGCTGGGCATGCATAGGGAATCCCCAACCACCATGGCGTGACCCACAGGCCCAGCCTTTCTGCCAACTTCTCAATCCTCTACTTTTTGTTTTAGGAATGACATTGCCCTCATCAAGCTGGCCGAGCCTGTGGAGCTCAGTGACACCATTCAAGTGGCCTGCCTCCCAGAGGCGGACGCCTTGCTGCCTCAAGGCTACCCCTGCTATGTCACCGGCTGGGGTCGCCTCTGGAGTAAGTACAGCTCAGGCCCGGAAATCTTGGAGGGCTTCCTAGAGGAAGTACCGTTCACAATCAGCATGCTGCCCAGATTCACCTGCCATTCGACACGCCTTGCCGGATGTTTTCAGAGCTTTTTAAAGTTTGTAATAATAATAGCTAATATTTATTCAGCCCGGACCATGTGGTAGGCACTAATAAGTGCATGTGATAGATGTCATGAGAATTAAATAGGCTAGAACTCCTCAGGTGTTTAGAACAGGACTTGGCATGTTGTCCCTGCCTGTGATCCCAACACTTGGAAGGTGGAGGCAGGAGGATCAGGAGTTCAAGGTTGCTACTTAGGGAGTTTAAGGCCAGCCTGGGCTACATGAGAACCTGTCTCAAAAACAAACGAAAATAGGGATGGAGAGATGGCTCAGCAGTTAAGAACACTGAGTGCTCCTACAGAGGACCCAAGTTTGAATCCCAGCACACACGTGGCAGTAACAACTGTCTGACTGGGGATCTGACGCCCTCTTCTGGCCTCCAGAGGCACTGCATGACACAGGTGGACTTACATACATGTAGGCATAACACTCATACACATAAAATAAAAACCGGGTGTGATGGCACATGCCTTTATCCCAGTACTTAGGAGGCAGAAGCAGGTGGATCATTGTGAGTTCTAGGCCATCCTGTTTACATAATGAGTTCCAGCCCAGCCAGGGCTACAGAGTGAGACCCTGGCTCAATAATAATTATTAATAATAATAAATTAACTAACTAAAACAGCCCCTTGGGAGTAGAAGTTCAGGTCTCTAGGCATATCAATACCCAAGCAGACTCCAGAGGAACTGAAAAGTTAAATGCAAACAGAAACTGAACAGGACTTAGAGGACAGGCAGGTTAACTCTTTGGACAGCTGAGAAATACATGACACCAAAGGTAGTGCGCTGCAGAGAAATGACTGTCAGCTAGACGCTCAAACTGGGTGCGGTGTCTCACGCCTGTCATCCTAGCTATTCGGGAGGTGGGATTACAAATCCAAGGACTGCCTGAGCTACAGAGTGAGTTCAAGGCCAGCCTGGGTGACTTAGCGAGACCCTGACTCAGAAGGTATAAAAAGGCAACCAAGAGGATAGCCCAGTGGTAGAGTTTGTCTCACATCCGGGTTTCCTCTCTAACACAGCAAAACAGAAAGGGGGGAAGAGGGGAGGCAAGCTCTGAATTAAAGGCACTCCCTACCTTCTGAGGGACCCTGAAGCAAAGGTTTGAACCCTGGATGGACCTCCTGATGAAGGGTACATGCAGGGTTCTCACAGGGATCCATACGTCCTGCCTTGTCCTATCTTCGGCTGACTAAAGGCCAGGGCTGAGTGAGGCCTCGGGCTGACTCCCAGCTCACTACTGCTCTCTCCCCAGCCAATGGCCCCATCGCTGATGTGCTCCAGCAGGGCCTGCAGCCCATCGTGAACCATGCTACATGCTCCAGGTTGGACTGGTGGTTCATCAGGGTCAGGAAGACCATGGTATGCGCCGGGGGCGATGGTGTCATCTCTGCCTGTAACGTGAGTGTCCTGACCCCATACCAGCGGGTGGCAGGGAGGTGGGCAGAGAGGGTGGGGTACAGGAAATCCCTCCCTCCAAGAAGAGGAGACCCGATGGGTAAGGACACAGCAAGTGTAGGAGAAACTGTCACCCCAGTCCACCCCCTCTGCTCACCTCTAGCACATACAGTGAAACAGAAAGCTGGACATGAGCAGCCAAGTTCAAGTAATTATTAGTTCTGTGACCTTGGGAGGCTGCTGAAGGACTCTATAAAATGAGGCCAGGAGAGAGGTGGCTCAGCAGGAAAGGCACTTGCCACCAAGCTCAATGACCTGAGTTCAGTCCCAGAACCCGTATGATGGAAGGAGAGAACCAGCTCCTACAACTGTCCTCTGATCTCGACACACACACACACAAATGGGCGTGTATATTTGCACACACACAGACATGCACACAAAATAGATAATTGATGATAGATGATAGATAGATGATAGATAGATAGATAGATAGATAGATAGATAGATAGATAGATAGATAGATAGAATGTTTTAATGTAATGGGAAAGTTTGCCTTGCAAGTGTGAAGACCTAAATTCAATTCCCAGAACCCATAATGTAAAAATGCAGAGCACGGAGTTAGGCCTATAATCCCAGTCCTGGGGATCTGGAGACAGGACGATTCCTGGGACTTGCTGGCCAACCAGATGGCTCACCTAACTGGTGAGCTCCAAGCCAAGAAGATAGGAAGTGCATGGCATTCCTAAGGATGACACCCAAGAATGTCCTCTGGATCTGCATACATATACATACATGTGCATGCACATCCGCATACACCTGCACTCTCACACACATACACACATGCATCAAAAAAGAGGCCATAGTAACCACTTCACGGGACCACCATGAGGTCTAAATGGGTCTAGCAGCTGGGGAAGTGACTTCCTTCCTGTCCCCACAAGTGCTCCTGCAGGTTTTGACACACCTGTCCAAGGAGACAGGGACTCAGAGTCTGACCAGAACCACATACCATCCAGGACAACCCAGGACTGTCCTGTTTCTAAATATAACACCCTCTCCACATGCCAACCTCCCCATTTCCGCAGGGCTCCCAGCATCCTTCATTCTCTGGATAGCCCACAGAAACTTACACAGAGTGACCTAAACAGCAAGAGAAACTGAGGCACACAAACCAAGAGCTAGCTGACACCCTAGGGCCTCACAGAATGGAGCAGAGGCAGCCTGAGGCCTGAAGAGACAGTACTGAGACTGAGGTCGCAGCTCACATCCCTCACCACAGCGACCCCTGCCTCAAAGCCAGCCTCTGGGGGAGGCCCGAGGCTGAGGTCCATTGCTCTGCTACAGGGGGACTCCGGAGGCCCACTGAACTGCCAGGCTGAGGACGGCTCCTGGGAGACTCATGGCATCGTGAGCTTCGGCTCCCCCAAAGGCTGCAACACATATAAGAAGCCAGTGGTCTTCACTCGTGTGTCCGCCTACATTGACTGGATCAACGAGGTAGGTGTTCATGCACCCCCTCCTGAGCCCCTCAGCCCACCCCTCGGGCTCTCCTCTTCACCAGCTTCTTCCCTCCTGGATATATTCACTGGTCACTTAAGCCCATGTTCAGGGTCACTCACCCACTCCCTGAGAAACCCTGGCTGAGCCCTTCCTGATACAGACCTTGAATCAGGAACGAGGGCCGGCTCACAGAGAGGCCACATTGGGTGGTCATGTGTGGGGACAGGTGCCCTCCTGGGCTGGAGTCTCACACCCAACAAATGTAGGATGTATTCTAAGTGCACATGCACCATGTTCTGAAACACCGGGGGGCCTGAAGCCTTTGGTCAGAGACCAGGCTGGCCTGGCCATGCCCCTGGTTGGGTGGGGGGCTATCACCCTGAAGATTCTTGTGCTGCCTCAGAAGGTGATATATCCCAGAGTTCCTCACACTGACTTCTGCTCCTCCAGAAACTACAGCTGTGAAGAACTGGTTCCAGGAAGCCTCAGTCCATTCCTGCAACATCAATAAACCTTTTCTGAGTGTCTAGATATTCATTCTCATCTCCTGGGATCCTGGGAACAAGAAATAGACACCCTGGGCCAGACCGTAGAGGCCTTGAGGGCACATGTCACAGTACTAATAGCGCCCAGGGGGCAGACAGGTAACCCGAGGATTAAGGACCCTACAGACACATGTCCCTCCATCTCAGGCTGTGAACCAGCCCAACTCTAACCTGTTCGAGGCTCTCTGATCCTGATACATACCACCCATCAGTCTGATAGGATCCCCAGTTGCAGGTTAGAGGCTAGGGTCTCCCCAAAGCCAGCCTCACCCAACACAGAGAGGCCAAGCCCCTGGAAGATGCCCAGAGACTACCTCACTGGCCCTGGGGGTGGGGGACTCCCAGCAGGTCCCCTGGCGCCCCAGCACAGCCTCCCCAGCAGCTAACAGCCCAAGGTGTCTGATTGGAGAGAAGTGTTTGGTGAGCCCTCATCCAGGAGTGGTACAGGAAGGGGAGACCCCAGCCCCATCCTCAGAGGTACAGGCTCGAGGAGAGCAATGGTTCCGTCAAGAGTCATATGAAAAGCCTTCACTGTGTGAGACAGGTAGGGAAACAGGCCCAGAGAGAGGCTGACCTGAGTCAGGATCCAGGAACATCCAGTAAGGCAGGATCCATAATGGGCTAAGGAAAGGAATGCTCTTCTGAGGCCGATGAGGTGAGTTGGATCCAAGGCATGAGTATCCAGGGTCTGGTAAGGGATGTCCCAGGTGGGCCATCTGTCCCTGCAAGAGGGGCCACAGTCTCGGATGCTCCTGAAAATGTGGCAGTCTACCAGGGCTGCACCTCAGTCTCTAACCTCCTCACAACACACCTGGTTACAGCTAATGATTGGTCCCTCAACCACTTCCTCATCAGACATTGGCTATAATAGGCAGAGAGCACGATAAACTTGTCATGACTCAGGGTGCCATTCTTAGGGTTAACCTTTCTTACTCAGAAAGCCCAAACCTTGGGCCACAAGGTTTCCTGGGTTCAGAGAAGAGCCCTGCAGCAGATAGCTCAGAAACAGATCATGGGGCAGGGGTTGGGGGGTGGGGGAGAGACAGAGAGAAACAGAGAGACAGAGATCAGAAACACAGACCAGGGGCACAGAAATAAGACACCTAAACCATTATCTATGGGCAGCAGGAATCCAGGAGAGCTTCCTGGAGGTGGCAATGCCCAAGCTGGGTCCTGAAATTGAAATAGAAGCTTCTCAAGTACAGAAGATGCTACTGGTTGCTTAATCCTAACTTGATCCCCAGCTGCCTTCCTTCTTTCTTGCCTGTCCTTATATTGAGATGATAAATGCTCAGCCCTTGCTGTCCCTAATTCCCTTGTAGCCAGGGAACTATGGAAACGAGTTCTGGCCTTATAGAGTATAATAATAAAGTAAAGTCTGAGATTTGATGAGCACTTAGTGTGTGCCAGACACCATCCTCTATGTTTTCCCTTCATCTTATTTTTCCAAGATGGCCTTGTAAAGCTAGCTGTGATCATCCTTCCCATTTAACAGATGAGAAAACTAAGGTCAGACCAAGCTAGTGACTTCCCACAGTAGCTTAACTAGAAAGTGGTAGAGCTAGGATTGAAACGTCACTAATTTGACTCCAGAGTGCATGCACTGGACCATGCAAGGCGAAGGAAAGCTAAGGCTTTCCCGGTAAGGGGAGTCTGACAAATCACTGCCACACCTTCCCCTTCTTCCTGCCTTGAATGTGCGAGTGATGGCTGGAGCTGAGGCAGCCATCTTATGGTGGAGTGAATTGCAGAGACGTCCCACTCAGATGTGTCAAGCTGGAGATCTGAAGCCAGCAACCATCCCTCTCTGAATTTCTTTGCTCCATGAAAAAATAATAATAAATCTGCATTTGTTTTAACTGCTGTAGTTAACTCTGTTTCTGCAGTTGCTGTTGCTAGAGCATAAGACGGGGGGAGAGTGTACACTGATCAGCCACCCTGTTTTACCCTGGACCCGGGAGTTTTCCAAGATTCCAGAGTTCTGGTAAATCTTCTAAATCTGGAATAGTCCCCAGCAACAGATTGCTCGTTCCGCTCAGCAAGGAAGGCCAAGCTATGGCAAGGCCCAGCTAGGGAGTGAGCACAGACTCTTCCCCAAGTCCTTGTGACATGCTGGGGTCATTGGGAGTCAGAGGGCAAGGGGACCTCAGAGGGATTTAGACAGAAAAATGATATCTGTAGTCACAGGTACACAGTAGGGTGCTCATCTGAGAACGGGGTGGAAGGTGTGATGGGACAGAGTAGAAGCAGGGAGATCCGAGCCAGGAGGCCACTGCAAGGGTCTAGACAAAAGTTAAGGAGGCCTGGATGGTGGCAAGAGCAGAAAGAAGGAAAGGAAAATATCCCATAATAATTTCAGAGTGATGAGGACCCAGGACTGCTCAAGGGAGGAGTGCTTGCCTAGCATGCATGAGGCCCTGGATTCCATCCCCAAGGCCACCCCAAAAAGAAAAATGGTGTTAAATGTACAGGGCAAGAGCGCCCTCTTATCCCCCAGCCATTATAAACTTCGAGAATGTGATTGAAAAGTACTCTAGCCGGGAGTGGTGGCACACGCCTTTAATCCCAGCACTCGGAAGCAGAGGCAGGCATATCTCTGTGAGTTCAAGGCCAGCCTGGTCTACATAGTGAGTTCTAGGACAGCTGGGGCTACAGGAGACCCTGTCTCAAAAAGACCAAATAAATAAATAAATAAAGTTAATATTTTTTAAAGTACTCTATTAGCTAGTACAAAGTGAAATATGAACCACACCCCTGGAGCACATGAGTTCCGAGCCAGCCTCACTACATAGTGAGAGCCCATCTCAAAAACGGTGGCTAGTGCAGGGGCTTGGGGCCTGGAGAGGAGGCTCAGCAGTTAGAACACTTGCTGCTCTGCCAAAAGACCTAAGTTCAGTTCCCAGAACACACAGCAGGCAGCTCCCTCACAATGCCTGGAACTCGAGCTCCAGGGGATCTGACACCCTCTTCTGGCCTCCACAGGCACCTGCACTCACATGCACATACCCACACACAGACACACACACATACACATAATTCAAAATAAAGAGTTGAAACAAGAGTCACTGAGCCTCTACCAAGACTCAACTGCCTCCCTGTGCTGAATAACTTTAGCTGTCAACTTGACACAACTGAGTTAGAGGGACCTCAGATGAGGAATTATCTCCATTGGACTGGCCTGTGGTCATGTCTGTGAGGCATTTTCTTGATTGTTGAGTGATGTGGGAGGACCCAGCCCATTGTAGGTGGTGCCACCCCTGGGCAGGTGGGCCTGTATTATATAAGAAAGCAGGCTGAGCACAGGCCAGGGGAGCAAGCCAGTAAGTAGTCCATGGCCTGTGCTCTAGCTCCTGCCTTGGCTTCCCTTGATGACAGACTGTACTGTAAGCCAAATAAACCCTTTCTTCCAAGTTAGTTTTGGTCAGTGTTTTTATCACAGCAATAGAAAGTAGTAAGATGACATAGGGGCTGGAGAGATGGCTCAGCGGTTAAAAGCACTGACTGCTCTTGCAGAGGACCCAGGGTCAATTCCCAGCACCCACACGGTGGCTAACAATCATCTGCAACTCCAGTTCCGGGGGACCCGACGCCCTCTTCTGACCTCCACAGGCATTGCATGACACAGGTGCACTTGCCTACATGCAGGCAATATACTCATACACATGAAAATGATAAATAAGAATATTTGAAAAAAGCGAGGTAGAGAGTCAGGTGATTGTGGTGCAGGCCTTTCATCCCACCACTGGGAAGGCAGAGGCAGGCAGAGCTCTATAAGTTGGAGGCCAGACTAGCCTACATAGGGAGCTCTAGGCCATCCAGGGTTACACAGTGAGACCCTGTCTCTCAAAATGATAATAAGGTGAAGAGCAATAGAGAAAGACCCTCTCAGAAAGTATTTTTCAGATAAGGAGAAAGGGGCAAAGAGGGTACAGCAGAAATCTGACGTGAGGGAAAGCTAAGTGAGCACCAATTATTGACATATAACAGCGTGTTCTGCCAAGATATCCCCTGGGGTCCCAGAAAACATGAGGCCAAGAAATATCAGAAACAGGCAGAATCGGTCAGCAAAGGAGTTCCTGTGGTTTCAAAGGAAGCTTTACCCAGTCCTCTTAGGGAGAACAAGTTTCTGAGGTTGCGGGCAGTACACTATGTGAAGCAGACAAGAAAATCCAAACAGCCAACAACACTGCAAGGATGGAAGGCAAGTGTGAGCTAAAACTTCCTACTCTGGGTTCTCAGCACGGATCCATTGAGTTGGTGAGGTCTGAGAGCCCGAGCTTAAGCCCAAATAAACCATAAACCTTTGCTTTTGCATTTTGGTGTGTTGGGTCCTCAGTGGTCTTTTTGGGGTCCAGTGGATGAGGTACAACAGTTTCCACATGGAATTATATGTCAGTCATCCAAACCTCCAAACTTTTGACTCCTTTGCTGATGCAAGAAAGAGGGGATAACCTGCTTCCTGCTGGCACTGAGGATTCTCTCCATATAAGAATTCAATAGAGCCAGGCGTGGTGGTGCACACCTTTAATCCCAGCACTTGGGAGGCAGAAGCAGATGGATCTTTGTGAGTTGCAGGCCAGCCTGGTCTACATAGCGAGTTCCAGGACAGCTGGGGCTACAAGGAGACCCTGTCTCAAAAAGAC